TTGATAAAATATTACAAGATTGGCAGAAATTAGATTCTCCATGTCAAGAAAAGTTGGTTTTGCAGCCAAGTTTTGAATAACGAGATAAGAATCTCACTAGTGAGCAAACAAGAGGACTGTTTGCATATATCTAACCTCCTCTTCCTTCACATGCATTTTCCTATTTTCCCACTTATGGTAAGGAAACCAGACAGCTCTGATTGCTGACATAACAGCTAGAGTGGATATCTGGTGAATCCAGCTTGCCATGTGCTTCTCCAGGCCTCCACCTTTGACAGCAGTCACCAACATCTCAAGGCATGCACCATGGACAGAGATTGCTTGGCACTTTGTCCAGAGGTTGGCATCAGACCTGTAGCAGTCTTACCTCATCTACAACCTACTTACAATCCAATTCCAAAATTAATGCTGTACTTCGGAGCACACAGGTCGTTTTGCCCTTGGCCCAATCAGTCAGAACCTAAATGCTTACATTGCTATCAGTCAAGGCAAACAGAAGTACAGACACCAAGCCCAGCAGCTTGTCATGGTTGTCAGCAAAGATCAGTCAAGAAATGGATACGGTGGTTCGCAGTGCCAGGGACTTGGGTTCAGTTCCAGCCTTGTGAGATTTTCTGTGTGGAGGTTGCACGTTCTCCCCTGCAGTCCAAAGCTGTGCAGGTTAAGTGGATTGGCCATGCTAAATTGCCCATAGTGTCCAAGGATGTGCTCTTTGGATGGATGGTGTGGACTCAATGGGCTGAATGGCCTGCTCCCTCACTGTTGGGATTCTGTGATACGAAGTTGCTGTACGGCACTGTGCCATGTTACTGTCAAAGGTGGTCATTTGGTGGGCCACAATCAATCCTGGGGCACAGCTCAATGAAAATCAAAGGGGTTTATCAGTGTCTGCTGCTGTGAAAGGAGAGTTGGGGAAGTCAATTCTGAGGATTGGAAGCAGTATGTTGGGCCACAGAGGGAACAATGATTGCAACGGGGAAGGTGAAAATCTCAACATACAAGGATGGGGATCGACAATAGTGCATTGTAGGAGATAGATTACTGCAGGGATTGGAGATTCACTGATGGTCTTAGTCGCTCTGGCTTCGAAAGAGGGATAGTGCAGCACAATGGTGCTCGGGGAGTAATGTTGGAAGCTTAAATCATAATTCAAAGAAAAACACTGAAAAAAATGGATTCTGGAAATCAGAAAGAAAAACAAAAATTGCTTGAAGACTCAGCAGATCTTTCAGCATTGGTGGAGAGAAACCATGGTTAATGTTTCTGGTCCAGTGACCCTTCTTCAGAACTGACTGCAGCTAGGTTGGTGTTTAGCAGAAGATGGGGTGGGGGAAGGGGTAAGAGTAAACAATAGGTGGAGATAGAGCCCAGAGAGAGGAAAAAATAGCTGGACAGACAAGGGACTGAAATAACTGCAGATGCTGGAAATCAGAAACAAAAGCAGAAATTGCTGGTAAAACTCTGCAGGTCCGATAGCATCTGTAGCAAGAAAGCAGAACATTTCGGGTCCAGTGATCCTTCTTCAGAAAACTGGTTGGACAGACAAAGGAATGGGTAAAGGTCAGCCTGGGAGAATGAATAACAGCTAAAATGGACTTTAGTAGCCAACAATGGGCTGTGTGGTAGCAGCCCATGTGATGACAGGGCCTGGTATGTGGGGTTTGGGATAAGGACATGGGAGAAGATGCCTTAAGCCCTAAGATGATTGAATTCAATATTGAGTCCTGAAAGATCCAAGGTGCCCAAATGGAAAATGAGATGCTGTTTTTCAAGCTTGTGCTATGCTTCTCAGGAACACTGCAGCAAGCCTGAGACAGATTTTGGCCAGAGAACACAGTGGTATGTTGAAGTGGCAGGCAACTGGAACTTGGGGTCATTTTTGTTGACATTTTCTGTGCCAAACAACCTGCAGGTGAAGAAGTCGCAGTAGAAGGTCCCCTCAGGACATGCAGGAGGACCAGAGTCTATAGTCTATCATTCCCCATGAGCGAGGCACCGTGTTGCCACAGACTGAGGATGTCCCAGGACATCATCACAGTACTATGCCAACTGCTGGAGCAGGATCTGTGATCCAAAGGAGCAGCTGGCCATCCTATTGGGCAGGCCGACAAGGAGACAGCCACATTAAACTTTTGTGTAACCAGCTGCTTCTAAGGATCCACTAGGGACCTGTGTGGGATCTTGCAACGCACAACCCACAAAATATATGAGGTTGTTACTGATTTAATTTGTATCAGATCTAACCACTTCACTGTGAGGATGTCAGTGCTGCAACCTGTGTCGGTAGGCTTCACCAGTATATGGTCGGTTCTGCTATAACGCGTGTTTTGTGAATGCGAATTGGTTATAACGCTATTGACAAATAGGGGAACACTATTTCTAAAACGCAAACTTGTGCTGGCTATAACGCGATTACATCAGTGCGTGGTGGAGGGCACGTCGACATCATGTGATCATTTCACAGGCTTTGCCATGAATACGTACAATGTCAGCACCGAAAGAGTCTCTATGCAGGCATCATGTGATCATTTTGCAGGCTTTGTTGTAAAGTGCTTACTGTGAGAGGTACAGTACAACCTCCTGTAGTACAACATCAAGTCATCTTGACATTTTTTCAAGGGGAAGTGTTAAATTTACTTTTATTTCATTATTAGATATGAATTAAACATTTATTCAAATTGTGCTGTCCTTTGTGTTAGGCTTTTGAGTGATACATTTAGTGGTCTGCCCCTAACCCCACTTTTCCCATTGGCCACATTATTTCTATAGTGCAATTTTCTATAACGCGATGTTGCACAGGAACACAACTATCCTGTTATAGCAGAACCGACTGTACTTGGTTTCCACAGGTAAACGGTGCTATAGCCTGTACACGTCACACAGATCATAACATGGCTGACTTCATCAACAGGAATGGGTTCCATTCCATCAATGAACATGACCACCACCTTAGAAGACTGGGCATGGTTCCTAAGCAGCTGACATGAGGCCTCTATCCTTGAGAATTCTCATATTCATGCTTCATGTTTAAGGTCGGATTCCTTAAAAGGATAGTTACTAGGAAATAAGGACTACCTTCTACAACCATGACTGATGAATCTATTGGCAACTCCTGATTGGGGCTGAGAGTACCCATTCTTCCATCAGGGCTGTTGTGGACCAGGCAATCACTATCATGG